ATGCTTTGTAATATTTCGATGTTTTGGATTCTGTTAATGCTTGCTTTATGGCCTAGTATGTGGTCTATTCTGGAGAATGTTCCATGCACGTTGGAAAAGAAAGTATACTTGACTGCTGTTTGGTGGAGTGTTCAGTATATGTCTGTGAGATCAAGTTGGTTGACTGTAGCATTTAGATTTTCCATGTCTTTATTGAGCCTCTTTCTGGATGTTCTGTCCTTCACCGAAAGTGGTGTGTTAAAGTCTCCCACTACTACTGTGGAGCTGTCTGTCTCTGTTTTCAGTGCTGTTAGAGTTTGTTTTATGTATTTTGGAGCCCTGTCAGATGTGTAAGTATTTATTATAGTTATGTCCTCCTGGTGTATTCACACTTTAATCATTATATAGTGTCCTTTCTTATTCTTTGTGGTGGATTTTACTTTAAATTTTGTTTTGTCAGAGATTAATGTTGCCACTCCTGCTCTATTTTGAGTGCTGTTTGCTTGATATATTTTTTTCCATTCTTTGAGTTTTAGTTTGTTTGTGTCTTTAAGTCTAAGATGTGTCTCTTGTAGACAGCATATAGACAGAACGTGTTTTTTAATCCAATCTGCCACTCTCTGTCTCTTTATTGGTGCATTTAGTCCATTTAAATTCAGCGTAATTATTAATAGGTATGAGGTTAGTGTCATCATTTTGATGTCTTTTTTTGTGTGTTGTTGACAGTATTTGTTCCACTTAATTTTCTGTGCTGAGTTGTTTTTCTTTATGTGTTTCATCATTGTAGATTTCTATTTGTTGAGTCTTTATATATATTTTTCTAGCTTTTTATTTTGACTTTTAGGATTGTTAGTTTCCTTTGTGGTTACCTTAATATTTACCCCTATTTTTCTACGTTTATACCAGTCTTTTATTTCTTTATATCACCTTGACTTCCTCTCCATATGAAAAGTCTATGTCTACATTTTTTAAATGCCTCTTTTTTTGTTTTAATGTTGTCATCTTTCACATATCAACATCTGTTTCCCTATTTTCAGTGTTTTAGCTTTGCTTCATTTTTGTGACTTCCCTATCTGGGTTGATATCTGGTTGCTCTGTCCTATGTTCTAGTCTTGGGTTGTTATCTGATGTTATTGATTTTCTAACTGGTGGACTCCCTTTAGTATTTCTTGTAATTTTGGTTTGGTTTTTGCATATTCCCTAAACTTTTGTTTATCTGGAAATGCCCTAATTTCGCCATCATATTTGAAGACAGTTTTGCTGGATATATAATTCTTGGCTGGCAGTATTTTCCTTCAAGGCTTTATATATGTCATCCCATTGCCTTCTTGCCTGCATGGTTTCTGCTGAGTAGTCTGAGCTTATTCTTATTGACTCTCCTTTGTAGATGACTTTTTGTTTATCTCTAGCCGCTCTTAAAATTCTG